GTGTGTGTGTGTGTGTGTGTGTGTGTGTGTGTGTGTCTCATTTACAGCTGCTTTCTGTGATCAAGGCTGTGGGGATACAGTACAGCACAGCCCGTGTGTGTGTGTGTGTGTGTATGTGTGTGTGTGTGTGTATGTGTGTGTGTGTGTCATTTACAGCTGCTTTCTGTGATCAAGGCTGTGGGATACAGTGCAATACAGCCCCAGTGTGTGTGTATGTGTGTGATTTACAGCTGCTTTCTGTGATCAAGGCTGTGGGGATATAGTGCAATACTACTATTACTACAAAGAATTAAAAAAAATCACTATATCTAGCCAAAAGAGGAGCAGTATAGAAATAAATCAGAGACTAAGTCAGTGTCAGGACCCAGCTGGCAATTTGAAATCTTCTGACACAGAGTCAGTGGTACACATTGACCATCTGTACTCTGAAAATCCAAAATCTAAATATTCCAAAATCTCTATGCGTATTGAAAGCTCAGGGCTATAATTCTAGGTACTCAAGTGGCTAAGATCTGAAAATTTCAGTTCAAAGCCAGCCTGGGCAGGTTAAAAAACAAAACAAAACAAAAACTAGGTGCTAGTGGGTCATGCTTGTAATCCTAGCTACTCAGGAGGCTGAGATCTGAAGATCACGGTTCAAAGCCAGTCTGGGCAGGAAAGTTCATGAAACTTTTTTTTTTGGGGGTGGGGGTCCGGTCGTGGGTCTGAACTCTGGGCCTGGGTTCTGTCCCTCAGCTCTTCAGCTCAAGGCTAGCACTCTACCACTTGAGCCACAGCACCACTTCAGCTTTTTTTTTCTTTGCTTATGTGCTACTGAGGAATTGAACCCAGGGCCTCAGGCATGCAAGGCAAGGGCTTTACCACTGAGCCACCTTCCCAGCCCCTCATAAAACTCTTATCTCCAATAAACAACTAGAAAACCAGCAGTGGCACTGTAGCTCAAGTGGTAGAGCTCTCGCCTTGAGATGAAGAGCTGAGGGACAGCACTCAGGCCCAGAATTCAAGCCCTATGACCGACCAAAAAAAATAAAAAAAGCCAAAAGTGGAGCTATGGCTCAAGGGGTTGAATGCCACCCTTGAGCGGCAAAGCTAAGGGATAACACCTAGACCCTGAGTTCAAGCCCCAGTTTCAGCCCCCAAACCAAATATTCCAGAGTCTGAAATTTAAGTTTATTTAAGAGTTTGTATTTTCAAATTAAGGAGATTATTTGGTAAGGTTTTGCAAATATTCACATAATCCCCCTCCTACCCCCACCCTCTCACCCCTGCCAAAATGCTGATATCCAACACTGTGTATTTCACATAAAGGTTATTCTACCTGAATGTGTGTCTTGATTCATGGAATGGACTTTTGGAATTTTTTTTTTTTTTGCGGGGGGGTTGGTGTAGGGATTGAACTCAGGGCCTTGGTGCTGTCCCTGAGCCTCTGAGCTCAAGGCTAGTGTTCTCCCACACTGCCATTTCCGGTTTTGGAGTGGTTAATTGGAGATAAGAGTTTCACAGGGACTTTTCTGCCCGGGCTGGCTTTGAACCATCATCCTCAGATAACCTCCTAAGTAGCTAGTATTACACGCGTGAGCCACCAGCACCTGTTTTCTTTTTGGATTTTTTGACAGTTCTGTTCCACGTCTATTAGCTAAGACTTCTTTTTCCTAGCCAGGGGCGGGTGTGCATGCCTGTAATCTTAGCACTTGGGAGACTGAGGCAGGAGGATGGTGATTTTTTGGGGGGTGGGATTGGTGGTGGGGCTGAGATAAGATTCTCATGGACTTTTGTGCCCGGGTTGACTTTGAACCTCGATCCTCAGATCTCAGCCTCCTGAGTAGCTAGGATTCTAGGGGTGAGCCACTGGCACCCAGCTAAGGATGGTTATTTTTGAGGCAAGTCTGGGCTGTGACTTTGTCACAAAACAGAACAAAACAAACATAAAAGTTCTTTCTCCCTACCCTTGGAAGTTGGAAAGAAGTTTCTGTCTGATCTATTGCATAAAGCCACGCTATGTTCAGTGCATTATTGATCAAATGTTACAGTGTAAAACAAGCAACATGTATTGTCTCATAGGTAGGGCCCTGGGTGCCTCTGGCTCAGTGTCTCAGGGTTGCCGTCATTTTAGGGCTGCACACAGAGAGGATCTGCTTCCAGCTCGCTCATGTTGCTCTTGGCAGGCCTCAGGTCCTCCCTGGCTTTTGGCCAGAAATTGACATTTTTGTCACGTGGACAGCTCCTATCAAGGCAACTGGCTTTCAAGAGCGGGTGAGTGAGAGAGCAATAGGACACGGTGTCTAAGACTGAAGCATACTTTTGTTGCACCCTGATCTAGGAGATAACAGTCGAGCCTATCCCCAAGAGGGTAAATCACAAGAAGAGCCATTCACAGGTTCTTTGCCTTAGCCCTAACAGATGAGGGGGAGGAGCTGGGCAGGTGGAGAGGGTAAGGGTACTGGGTGTCTTGGGTCACCTGTATTTTTGCCCTGAGGCCTACTTGAGGCAGGAAATTAGAAAAGACAAGAGCCAGGGCACTGGTGGGTTGTACCTATAATCCTGGTTACTCAGGAGGTGGAGATCTCAGGATTGTAATTGGAAGCCAGCCTGGGCAGGAAAATCCATGAGAGAGAGAGACAGAGAGAGAGAGAGAGAGTGAGAGTCAGGAAAATCCATGAGGGGTGTGTGTGTGTAGAATCCATGAGGGGTGTGTGTGTGGCAGGACAATCCATGAGAGGGGTGTGTGTGTGTGTGTGTGTGTGTGTGTGTATAAAATCCATGAGGGGTGTGTGTGTGGCAGGAAAATGCATGAGGGGTGTGTGTGTGTGTAAAATCCATGAGGGGTGTGTGTGTGGCAGGAAAATGCATGAGGGGTGTGTGTGTGTGTGTGTGTGTGTGTGTGTGAGATTCCTGGGTCTTGAACTCAGGGCCCGGGCACTATCTCTGAGCTTCTTTTGCTCTGTCTCTGATCTTTTGCTCAAGACTAGCACTCTACCACTTGACCCACAGCACCACTTTCAGCTTTTTCTGTGTATGTGGTACTGAGGAATCGAACCCAGGGCTTTATGTCGGCTAGGCAAGCACTCTACCACTAAGCCATCCTCCCAGCCTCCATGAGATTTTTTTTTTTGGGTCTGGTTGTGGGGCCTGAACTCTGGGCCTGGGCTCTGTCCCTCAGCTCTTCAGCTCAAGGCTAGCGCTCCACCACTTGAGCCATAGCGCCACTTCCGGCTTTTTTCTTTTTGCTTATGTGGTGCTGAGGAATCAAACCCAGGGCCTCAGGCATGCAAGGCAAGCGCTCTACCACTGAGCCACCTTCCCCGCCCCTCCATGAGATTTTTATTTCCAATCAGTCACCAAAAAGCCAGAAGTAGAGCTGTGGTGCAAGTGGTAGGATACCAGTCTTCAGTGAAAAAGCTAAGGGAGAGTGTCCAGATCCTGAGTTCAGGCCCCAGTACCCAGTACTGGCACAAAATAACAGAAAAGCAAGTGAAACAGACTCAGCAACAGAGCACACAGTTAGCATGCATGAAGCTGTCAGGTTCAATCTTGAGTGGCAAAGGAAATATAATGGCCCAGAGTTGACAGCTGTATTGCATCCAAGCCTTTCATATAGGAGGAAGAAATAAACAAGAATGGAGTAGTCAATGCTGCCGAGCCCCAGAACCACTCCTCAGGGCTGTCACCTCCCTGGCTTTGATCTCATTATAGTCTCTAACACCTGGCAAAAATAACAAAAAGTGCCAGGTGGCTGGAGACATGGCTCGAGTGGCAGAGCACCTTATAAGCAAGCATGAGGCTCTAAGTTCAAACTTCAGTTAATACCAGAAAAATAATTAAATGTGCCAGGTGCCAGTGGCAGATATTTATCTGGGCAACAAGGTAAAACTCGTCACACTCAGCCTCATCACACACTGTAAGCTTTGTTGTTGAGCAAGCAAGGCCATGTGAACCAGCTCACACAAGTTTTCTGCTGCTGGCCCATGTGTCAGATTGGGACAATTTATTTAAACAGGTAGAGGTGTGTGTGTGTGTGTGTGTGCTGGGGCTTGACCTCAGGGACTTGGTACGTTTGCTTGGCTTTTTTGCTCAAGGTTGGTGCTCTATTACTTGAGCTATGCTTCCTCTTCTGGCTTGTTGCAGGTTCATTGGACATAAGAGTCTCATACATTTTTTTTCCAGGCTGACATTAAACTGTAATACTCAAATCTCAGCCTTCTTTTTTTTTGGGGGGGGGGTCTGGTTGTGGGGCCTGAACTCTGGGCCTGGGCGCTGTCCCTCAGCTCTTCAGCTCAAGGCTAGCGCTCTACCACTTGAGCCACAGCACCACTTCCAGCCTTTGTCTTTTTGCTTATGTGGTGCTGAGGAATCGAACCCAGGGCCTCAGGCATGCAAGGCAAGAGCTCTACCACTGAGTCATCTGCCTGGTCCCACTTCTGACTCCAGTTAGCAAGTTCCTGCTTCTTTTCCATGCCTGGCTTTCCAGCTTTCTGTTGGGTCTGGGAGCCCTTGGAAGTCATCCAATCCCCACTAGGTGTAAGTTGGCCACATTGGGCTACTCTGAGCCAGCACGGTTCCTGACACCCAGCCCTAAGAAACACAGGGAAGACCCCAAGGGGCAAAGGCCCACCTTGCTGGCCTTCTCCCTTGGAGGCAATCTAAAAGTCACAACATATCTACTGAGCACCTCCTGCCAGATACTCTGCCAGGCTTTGTGGGAGTACATATAGTCCCACCTTCAAGGGCATCAGATATGGAACAAATGTGACCAGCCACCCTTTGAGCTGGTGAGTTTTCCGATGAGAGGACTGGTGAGCCACAAAACCCTACACTTGACCAAGTACTGGTAACTCATGCCTATAATCCTAGCTACTCAGAAGGCTGAGATTTGAGGGCTGGGATTAATGTCTAGTTTTCTTTCTTGAGTCCTGCGCTGTCCATGATCCTCCTTGACTGTTCCCATGGGAGGAAATGGGTAGTTTTTTGTTTATGTTTTTAAGAGAAATGGAAAGAGGAATCAGATAGCAGCTAGATCCCCACGTGAGCCTTCTTCCCCATGGGATCTCATTTTAGCACCGTGGGGACCTGGGCAATGTCCACGCTGATGCTGGTGGCCGAGCCATCTTCCGGCTAGAGGATGAGCAGCTGAAGGTGAGGTGGAAAGATGGTGGGGAACCCTTCCTAACAGGACAGGGAGGCTGAGGTGTTGTCCTCCTTCAAAGGTGTGGGACGTGATTGGCCGTAGCCTTGTTATCGATGAGGGAGAAGATGACCTGGGCCGAGGTGGCCATCCCTTATCTAAGGTCACAGGGAACTCTGGGGAGAGGTGAGTAGTGCCATTTCCACAAGGAGGCGGAGGTCTGCCAGTGGTGCCCATGGAGCCCAGCATGTTCCTGCTTCCCATACCTCCTTCCGCAGGCTGGCTTGTGGCATCATCGCACGCTCTGCTGGCCTGTTCCAGAACCCCAAGCAAATCTGCTCCTGTGATGGCCTCACTATCTGGGAGGAGCGAGGCCGGCCCATTGCTGGCGAGGGCCGGAAGGACTCAGCCCAGCCTGCTGCCCACCTCTGAGTAGGGCTTGGAGTTCTATTGTGTCCTCCCTACCAAGCATCTTCCACCTGCAGAGGTAGCAAAGGGGCCATGCTAGTACAGGCCTAGGAGCAATAGGTATTGGGTATGTAGGGGTTACTTGGATGCATCTTTAGCAAATTAAACTTTTATTTTCACATGGAACTTTGTTTTGCCTGTGTCTGTTCTTCGATGGGATCAGTGAATGTAGCCTCTTTGCATCTGTCTTCCATATCCATGGCCACCCCTTCCTTCACTGAGATTCAAGTCCACATGTCCTGAGATATCGTCATCTTTTTTGTGTGGCTCCCCTCTTCCCTCAAGATGGCTAATTGTAGCCAAATAGACACTTGACCCATGCTGGACAGTTCCCTTAAGAAATGCTGATGGAAGCCGGGCGCTGGTGGCTCACGCCTGTAATCCTAGCTACTCAGGAGGCTGAGATCTGAGGATCGCGGTTCAAAGCCAGCCCGGGCAGGAGAGACCGTGAGACTCCTATCTCCAATAAACCACCAGAAAACCGGAAGTGGCGCTGTAGCTCAAGTGGTAGAGCGCTCGCCTTGAGCTGAAGAGCTGAGGGACAGCACTCAGGCCCAGAGTTCAAGGCCCACAACCACCACCACCAACAACAAAAAAGAAAGAAATGCTGATGGAGCCAGGTGCCAGTAGCTCACGCCTGTAATCCTAGCTACTCAGGAGGCTGAGATCTGAGGATCCTGGTTCAAGGCCAGCCCTGCAAGGAAAGACTATGAGACTCTTATCTCCAATTAACCACCAGAAAACCTGATGTGGCGCTGAGGCTCAAGAGGTAGAGCATTTGCCTTGAGCTGAGGAGCTCAGGGACAGGGCCCAGGCCCAGAGTGCAAGCCCCACAACAGACAAAAAAAAAACCAAAAATGCTGATGGCTCATTCCTGTAATCCTAGCTACTCAGGAAGCCAAGATACAAGGATCACCGTTTCAAGACAGCCCCAGCAGGATTCCCGCACCCCTCCCTCCCCTGTCGGGCTTGAACTCTGGGCCTGGGGGCTCTTCCTCAGCAATACAGTTCGAGGCTAGTAGTGCTCTACCACTTGAGCAGCACCACTTCCGGTTTTCTGAGTGGTTTACTGGAGATAAGAGTCTCATTGACTTTTCTGCTTGGGCTGGCTTTGAACCACTGATCCTCGGATCTCAGCCTCCTGAGTAGCTAAGCTGGGATTACAGGTGTGAGCCACCACGTCTGGCTGGGTGCAGGATTTTGTAAGAGGTAAAAACACTTGCCTACTATGCAAAAGGCCCTGAATTCCATCCTTCCAAGAAAAAAGGAAGGAAGGAACTAGGGAAGGAGGAGGAGGAAAGGAAGGAAATTCTAGGTATCCTTGTGTGTGTGTGCAATTCAGTGTTTGAGAGACTTAGGAGGATGGTGAGTTTGAGGACAGTGTAGGCTACTTAGTGAAATCTTTTTTTTTTTTTTTTGGGTCTGGTCCTGGTGCTGTCCCTCAGCTCTTCAGCTCAAGACTAGCGCTCTTCCACTTGAGCCACAGCGCCACTTCCAGCTTTTTTCTTTTTTCTTTTTTTTTTTTTTTTGGGTCCGGTTGTGGGGCCTGAACTCTGGGCCTGGGCGCTGTCCCTCAGCTCTTCAGCTCAAGGCTAGCGCTCTATCACTTGAGCCACAGTTATGTGGTGCTGAGGAATCGAACCCAGGGCCTCAGGCATGCACGGCAAGCGCTCTACCGCTGAGCCAACTTCCCAGCCCTACATAGTGAAATCTTATCTCAACAGTTAATCTGACTTGAGTAAATTTTTTTTTAATGTTTATGTGCCAGTACTGGGGCTTGAACTTGGGGCCTGAGCTCTGCCCCTGAGCTTCTTTGTGTTCAAGGCTAGGGCTCTACCACTTGAGCCACAGAACCACTTCCAACTTTTTCTGAGTAGTTTTTTTTTTTTTTTGGTTGGTAGTGGGGCCTGAACTCTGGGCCTGGGCACTGTCCCTTCAGCTCTTCAGCTCAAGGCTAGCACCACTTCTGCCTTTTTCTGCTTATGTGGTGCTGAGGAATCAAACCCAGTGCCTCATGCATGCAAGGCAAGCACTCTACCACTGAGCCACTTTTCCAGCCCATCTGAGTAGTTATTTGAAGTTGAGTCTCAAAGACTTAACCTGCCTGGCCTGGCTTTGAACCGTGATCCTCATATCTCAGCCTCCGGAGTAGATATGATTATAGGAATGAGCCTGGCTTGAGTTGATTTCTTTCACTCACAAGTGAAAAGCTTTTAATTAACCTAAGTAGCTCTTCATAAGTATTTGGCACAGAGCCTGACACACATAGATTAAGGAAGCAGTGGCAGTGATTCTAAGGCCATATGGGCCCTAGAGGCAAGCCTGAAAAAGATCCTCATACCTATGACTGCTAGACCTGGCTAGTGAGCTTTGTATTCTTGGCACCTTACTTCGGTTTTCTGAACTCTCTGCACTGGGCCACATGAGGCTTATTATTCTTTTTTTTTTTTTTTTTTGTCGGTAGTGGGGCTTGAACTCTGGGCCTTGGTCCCTCAGCTCTTCAGCTCAAGGCGAGCGCTCTACCACTTGAGCTACAGCGCCACTTCCGGTTTTCTGGTGGTTTATTGGAGATAGGAGTCTCACGGTCTCTCCTGCCCGGGCTGGCTTTGAACCGCGATCCTCAGATCTCAGCCTCCTGAGTAGCTAGGATTACAGGCGTGAGCCACCAGCGCTCGGCTGAGGCTTATTATTCTTAACAAAACTACTTTTAGGACAAGGTAAACTGTTAGATTACAGATGACCTCTGTGCCAGCTGCTTCAAATTGAACCAGGCAGTGGGTTTTCGTTTGGCCCTGGCTCTAAGGCCCCTGACTCTGTTCTCATTACCCAAGCCCTGCTGGCGCTCTAATCTTGCTGGCGCTGCCTCCAGTGCCTGTCCTTGGACCCTGTTCTGCTGGTTGATTTCCCCAGCTCCCCCATAGTCTCTGGGAACCAATGGTTTTAAACCCAGGATACCTTTCTCCAGTTTTAGGTATTGCAGAAACTGCTGGATTCTGGCCATAGCCAATTCCTGCTTTCCCTCTTCCTCTGTTCTGGAGCTATAAGTTGGTTTAACCCTCTAGGGCCAAGTTGGTCACCATTCCTACCACTCTAGTAAGACATCAGCATTCCCAGTTCTAGCTGTGTATTTTCCTTTTTTCTAGCCATCAAACATTATTCAAATACCTTTTTTGGGGGGCAGGGGGACGGACAGGAGGCAGTACTAGAATTTGAATTCAGGGCCTCACACTTACTAGGCAGGCACTCTACCATTTGAGCTATATGCTTCCAGCCTCTTTCTGTGCTATTTTTGATACAGGGGCTCTGTAGGTATGCAACTAACTAGACTTTGAAACTCTTTATTTGTGCTTCCTTTTGTTGCTGGGTGACAAGTGTACCCATGGCACCCAGGCAATTAGATAACAAACATCCCAACTCCACCCCAGCCCCTAGACTAAAAACTGCAACCCTCAGATCTGTATGTTCCAAGTAGCTAGGATTACAGGCTTAGCCACCATATTGTTTCATACTGGGGTTTGAACTCTGGGCCTCATCTAGCTTTTTGTTCAAGGCTAGCACTCTACTACTTGAGCCACCGCGCCACTTCGGGCTTTTTCTGTGTATGTGGTACTGAGGAATTGAACCCAGAGTTTCATGCATGTGAGGCAAGCCACACTCTCAGCCCATGAATAGTTTTCTTTAAGTTGATGCACTTTTAAACTCATTTAAAGTGGAAAGTTTAGTATTAGCTAATACTACTAATTATGTTCTAGATTGTATTCTAAACACTTCAAATTCATATGCTTATATTTCCATGTTACAGATGAGGGAAACAGAAGCGCAGAGTGGTTATGTAACTTGCTCAAGGCTATGCAGTAAGGAATATGACAGAGTCTAGATTCAGGCCCAGGAAGTATGGTCCTAAGTCTATGTCTCTAATCATTTATATTGGTTCTTACTGTAAAGTGTTGAAAGTAAATATTTTTGTCATCCATACTTTGTAAGAAAAAGAATCTATATATCTATTAAGAAAAAATCATTCATGCTGGGCTGGGAATGTGGCTTAGTGGTAGAGTGCTTGCATGAAGTCCTGGGTTCGATCCCTCAGCTTTTGTGTTCAAGGTTAGCACTCTACCACTTGAGCCACAGCTTCACTTATGGCTTTTGGTTAATTGAAGATGAGTCCATGGACTTTCCTGCCTGGCTTTGAACTGTGGACCTCAGATCTCAGCCTCCTGAGTAGCTAGGGTTATGTTCAGCACAATGGTGAAGGCTTCCAGTGAAAAGCTGGAAGTACAGCTGTGACTGAAGTGATAGCCAGCCTGGAGCGGGAAAGGGAATTGAAGAATGTGAAGTCCTGATTTCAAAGTCCCAGTACTAGCTTGTGCATGTGCCTGTGCATGTGTGTGCACGTGTGCACGTGTGCACGCATACATACACACATACACACTGTAATGGGTCTGGAGGTGATTAGAAAACAAATACATTTCTTCTAGGGAAGCAGTGAGGAAAAAAGGGTTGAGAACCCTCAACAACTATATTGTGTGCTGTGAGCATACTTTTTTCATGACTTCAATGTGTAAGTTATATATTAATGATTTTTTAACTATTCCTGAAGAAGTTGCTTTGATTCCTTTTGGGAAAGTGGTACAGTATAAGTAAGTGTACCTTGAATCTTTATGCAAAAGTACCAAATAGGGTTTTCAGAGAGACAAACAGCATAGTTTTAATTCTTTAGCCTAAGTCTGTGAGACTCTTAGCCTCAATTAGCTACCTCCCAAACAACAACATAACCCTCCAAAAAAACTACTCTGAACTTTTTTGCTTAAGGACAGTGCTCAAGCCCTCAGTTTATTTTTTTATTTTTTATTTTTATTTTTTGGGTCCGGTTGTGGGGCCTGAACTCTGGGCCTGGGTGCTGTCCCTCAGCTCTTCAGCTCAAGGC